GAATCACAAGGGAACGTGTTGAGATTTCACGCAATTTAATAAAGCGGTAGGAGAAAATTCGTTTACCACATAATGCTCCAGCTCGGCCTTCTAGGGTGACCTGCCACGTAAAGGAGTCTCCCCTCGCCTTTTCTGCCTCCAGCTCCTTCTGAGACCGAGGAAACACATTCCTCCACAGCAGCAGCATCTTGGGAAGGTGATAACGTACCAGGGACGAACCTTTGCATCCATACACATCAAACAGAGGGGAGTTTATGGTGTACGGCAAAAACATAGTTGACAAATCACAGTTAAGATAATATTTGTGAGTAACTCACCCAAGGTCATGAGGGCGCCCAGCAGCAGCCATCCAGCTTGGGTCCGCTGCAAAGACAATCGACTGTTCTGAGCTGCTGTCCGAAGGAGGTCTTCAGCTATGCTTACCACCAACTGCAGGGAAACAACGCTTTGATATTAAACTCAGAATCGACATCTAATTTTAATATTTAGGACTACAAATTTCATTAAAAGACAGAGATGAGCGGGATCTAGAATGTTTAAATTGCTGTTAGACAATGATGTGTTTCCATACCTTGCCCTTAGAATGTGGTATTCCCAGAGGGCACTGGTGTACACCTCCAAGGAGAGCCGCCATCGCAAAGCTGTAGCCGCTGACAGCATCGGGTGAACTCTTGAGACTGTTAATCCTCTCAGCACAGCGGTCGAGCAGCGGTGTTAACTGATAGGGCAGCGCTACAGCAACACAGCGTAGGCACCAAGCAGCAGCCAAACGAGCCGCCATGCTTGGGTGTAGCAATACTGAGGTTACAGTTTCCAGAAGTCCTAAGAAAGATGTCATTGAAAAACAGTTAAATATACTTCCATTGTCACAACTGCATTTTGTTTATTCGGAAAGGACTGCTGGAAGTGAATCATAAAAAATACACTTCGCACCAATGGAAGGCTCCTGAATGAGAGGCGAAGCTGTGGCACTCAAGCTCTGAACAAGGCTGCCCAACTCTTTTAGGGCACAAACCATAACATGCTGACTGGCCGAAACATCAGTTGCACCAGTCTTGTTTTCTCCATTGGGGTCATTGACAACTGCATCTGGAATAACAAGGGGCAGAGAAATGCAATAAATAGATTTTTGGTTATTTCTTTGAGTCTTTTAATACTTAACGAATAGATTTAGAAGCTGTTTCCTGAATTTTGCATTTATTTTTTTCCTGTATAAATTGACAAATAGAGCAGAGTGTCTCTCGGAAACCATTGTGTTTCGTGCAGATATACATTTTGTTATCTTCTTCAAGTATTGTCTCGAGGCTATACAAAACAACAAAAGCCACTTATTGCACATTTGGACAGTTTAAAGGTTTAAGAGAAAACCAGAGTAAGAATGAAAACTTTTGAAAGTTCTGAACCCCCATTTTTAGTTTTTGTTTCGTGTGCTAGCGTGTGTAGAGAAGATAAAGTGATGAAATCTGATGGACAAATTCACAAATATTGCTACCGGTAGCGGTTACGTTGAGCAGAAGTGGCTTGTTCCTACCATGAGTGTGCAAATTTAGTGGCCCATACAGCCATTTTTTGCTCTGTGACGGTTATGTGGTCTGCTAATGTGTAATATAGTATAAAACAAAGATCACAGAAACACACTGGCAGAAGACTATAAAAGACATTCTCCTTACCCACAGCCCTCATTTGCTTGCTGATGGCTTGGCAGATTTCTTTGCCAGCTGCTATCTGCGCTTTCTCACCGAGTAAGCCACCCAGGGTGGCTCGTAGCATAAAGGAAACACAGCGCCGCGAGTACACAGCTTCAACATGTGTCTGTGTGGCTCGTGGATGGGACACAAGGTCCAAAACGTGGGAGAGAAAGGTGGCAAAGTTGCGCTCCAGCCACTGACCACCAAGCGTAGTAACAAATACGACATAAGCCTAAGGAAAAAAAATGGCTTCAAATGTAAGGGACAGGAAAACGTGCCAAAGTGTGTTTTGTTATGAGGAATGCAGCCCACCTGTGTGACGCCCACCCGGACTTCTCTGCTGACAGAAACGCCTCCCTTCAACATTTCCCCTCCACTCTTCAAGAAGCCAGATCCACCACGCAGAAAACCTGTGGCCATTAACTCAAAAACTTCCTCAAGCGTCGCCCGTTTCACATTCTGACGCATCACTGAGGAAAAGAAATACCAATGGTGAATATACTATTGTACGAATAAGAAATTATATTGGCTACAAGTGTCATATCTAACCAGCAGCTTGTTTAGGCATCAGAGCTGTAGCCATGACGGTCCCAAGGAGCTTGGCCACAGCAACCCGAACACCGTAGTTTGAACCCTCCAGGGCCTTGAAACACAATGTGGCCATGTTCTCCAGTTCTGTAGTCCACATGAATACTGCCTCATTCTGCAGTTCCAACAAGCACTGATCGGGTAAATGGAATAGAGATTTGAGTCATGTTAGTGATACTTTATCAGATAGCATTTTATGCAGATTTTTTTTTCTAGGCTGCAAAATCACTGGTATATTGTCTTCCTACAAATACCAATAGATATTGTGAGTCTGTGTGAAATCATAATACTCAATAGAGGATTTTTTTAACATTCAGAACATGATACACATTCGGGGGATATGACATCATTGTCATTGTCACTCGGATAAGTAATAGGGTTTGATGAACATGAAAGTTGGGATCCTAAGCTTTGGAAAATCAACAAATTGGCAAAATTATTACTTCTTTAGCTTTTCCAAACCTAGCTTTATGCTTTTTGGTATGATGACAATGTGACCTACCTTAGCCACTGCACAGCGCACAGCCATTGACCTGTCTGTGAGTAAAGAGCGGGCATTCTTGTAGATGTCTCTGTGGCATGAAGCTGCAGCTCCACCTAGTCCACTGAGCACCTTCTGCAAACTGATGAGTATTTCTCCTCTGCCTTGAGACTGCATGAAGATAGAATTAGGACAACAAACCTAAATGTTAAGTAACAACATGAGGAATCTACAGTCTATACTTCCAGTGTAGTCAATGAAATGTGTTCATGGTTGTCTACTAATGTCATACCTCTGCATTCTTTAATGCCTTTAAAAGATTATTGATGGTATCTGGAAAAGAACTTCCAAGCATCCTGCCCATCTTTTCATAAAAAGCACCAACACATGCCACTGCAGCACTAGGAAAACCGAAAACAAAGATAATTAGATGAGGTTTCTGTATAAGTAAATTAACAGTAGATATTCTATGTGCACATTTATCACATAACTTTTGAACATTTCCATTTGCGGGGATGGGAATAAAAATTGCTTAATTGATTTGTTAAGAATTCAGTTGATTGATTGGAATTCACGGCTGTTTCATTAAACACTTGAGACAAGATGGAATGTACAAGCAATCAGCTTGGAGAGACACATCCAATCACAACACGTTTGTGGTGAAAGAAAAAACACATTACATCAGTTACTGGATATTCAACTAAATCCCCCAATATGACACAACTTACTTTTAACAAGCAAAATTGAAGCAGGAGTTCAAAACATTCACCAATATTTTTTGCAGCCCATAAACACAGAATTAGAAAAATTAAAAATATTCAATTTATTCCTTATTAGTTTTGGCCAGAGTCAATCAAACACATTTTGGTTAAACGTCTGTCTCTCAAATAGACCTTTCTGAGGGCACAGTGCTTTACGATACAAATGGGCCAGGCAGTGAGATGCAGTCATTATCAGGCTGCATTAATGCCTCCACGGATCCACTTGTATATTTAATCCCACCATTAAGTATGAAAGATCAGAGTAACATTTGGCTTAACGACTAAATCCTCTAACAGAGAAATACATTGCTGAAATTTTGAAAGTAAAATTAATGTAAACCTGTCATTGCAATATATGTTTAAAAAGAACAACACACTATACAATGTTATCTTACAGTTTTGTCGGCAGGTAAGCAGGTGTGTCGTCCTTGCTTTTGATGATATCATTGCATTTATCCAGCGTCTGGAAAACCGTAAATGTGTCACCAATACTGTACAGTGTAGCAAGGTTTTTGGCGAGCAGCTTTCTTGTTGGTGGACCGGGAGCACTGCTGATCAGTCCCGTCAGTTGCTCCACCAGTTTTTTCTGCTTTTCCTTCACATCCACCTGTCGTTAAAGGACAAAATCTGTAGCTAACACATAATAAAATACACAGCGATCAGTTCTTAAAAACGTTTCAGTCACCTTATTTGCGGCCACAAGAACCTTATCCAAGAAACGGAGCCATTCGAAGATGAAGACGGGCCTCTTTGCCTCAGTGATCTGCGCCAACGCTTCCTCGTTGAGCAGGAGACTGTGAGCCAGCTCCATGGCGAGGATTTTCACAGATGTCCTCAAAACTTCTTAATCAACAGTGCGCTCTGTATATTCTATTCAAACAAGATAGCCACCTTTGAAACATCTTGCGAAGTACAACAGCACAGCCTTAACCAAACTACAGTACTTTATTGTGTTTTTAGGGCCTTACGCGAAATCGTTCTAATTGCCACGTTAAAACTGTTAAATGTAAGGCGTGTTACCGTTTGTCTTTTCGTTCCGATGATCCTCCAGTGTTGACAGCTTCCTCCAGCTGTTAGCAACCTGAAGCTAGCGAGTACTTACGATCAAAAGCCACACTTCGTCAATAGACTTAAAGTCTGAATGGATTACATCCCTTTACCACCGCGTCTTAATAGATTAGGTTGTTTCAGACAGCAACTTTACATGTATTCATCCGTGTTCCCGTATCCTGGCGAGAATTACGACGGTAGCACTTGTGTTACAGTAACACTTGCCGGATGAAACAAAAATAACCGGGCAAGTAATCCTGTCGTAAAATTAAGTTGAATAATTTCCAAGATGATCATTTTAATGACTTAACCGTGAAATTGTATGTTTTAAAGCCATTATAAACTACCAGTCGACGACTTCCTGGCATCCACATACAAGTAATAGCGTATTAAAATTTAATTTGTTGTTAGTCGGAGTGCGTTGTCGAGGAACCGAAAATTAGCGGAAGCAGCAACGTCCATTACAGTGCTGGAGTAATAAAGAATTTTGGCATTATTTGTTCATTTTCTCTCTTTTTTTTTTTAAAGTTTAATAATGTCCGATGAGGAAGACGATTATATGTCCGATGCTTTCCTCAGTCAAATGTAAGTGTTGCTCTGGACGGTATTTGTCTTTAAACGTGTGTCGGCATGACTGTTTTGGTCTGCTTTTACACGCTAAAAATGTTTTAAATTTACGATGATGATGATGATTATTATTATTATGCCTACTGTTAAATGCTCAACAACATACAGCATGGTAAATACGAGACAAAGAAATACGGTTTATGAACCTTATAGACAATAAAGGATAGATAATCCTTTATGAAACTATTGATCGTTAAGATTTGAATAGTATATATTTATATACTCTTACATATTGAACCACAATAGTGAATTTTTATCATTCAATTCCTGTAAGTGTCATTTTGTTATTATAATAACGCCCTTTTTCTTGTGTCAGACAAGATGTCAAACCAGGTGTCGCCATGGTGAAGCGAGTAAAAGAGGCAATGAAACGGGAAGAAAAGCACAAAGAGAGCAACATTAAAAACCGTCAAAAAACCTTCAAGGAGCAAGAAAAGGAAAGCCGTGAAACAGCTTTACAGAGTTCCATCAGTAATGACAATAAGGGATTTGCACTTTTGCAAAAAATGGGTTACAAAGCTGGGCAAGGTCTTGGAAAAGAAGGCATGTTTTCTTATCTGACCTTCTGAAATTTGATCTGCTACTGTATGTTGTACTTGTGTTGATGATAATATCATTTACCAATTTAGGGGCTGGCAGAGTTGATCCAATTCCACTGAATATTAAAACTGGTAAGAAAGCATTTTGTCATGCTTGTGATATATTACTCCAATTACTGTATGTTCTCTGTTTTTGACCTTGAATGACTCAGATAGAGGTGGCATCGGGATGGAAGAAGCAAAAAAGAGAAAAGCTGAGAAGGAACTGGAGCAATATCGAAAGAAAGTACAGGCCAAACAACAAAATGAAACTAAATCTTTGGAAGATTTTAGGTAAAGACTAAGTGAATATATAGATCTGAGCTATACTGTAAGATGCCAGTATTTCATTGTCTGTCTCTGCTCACACTGTCACCTTTCAAGGTCAAGAGTAAGGACAGAGCGAGAAGAGCGAAAAATTGAAGGCGACCTTCGACGAAGTCAACGAGCCTGTGAGCAGTTAGATTCTCAGAAGGTTGGAGAATAATTGGTTCTTGTGCATGAAAATCAGGACATCAGACCAAAAATGATGTACCAGTACACTATACAGTATAATGATATTCATACAGAAAAATGACATGTACTGTCACTATGAAAATAGCACTTGAGTTTTTGCTTGTGTCTAAACAATTAGCCTTTTCATTTCAGGGCATCACAGTCCCCAGAGAACAATGGTACTGGCCAAAAATAGGAGTTGACGAGGAGATCGATGAATTTAAAGAAGAAAAAGAGGAGGAAGATGAGATTTTGGAATTACCAGTAAGTTTTGTTTTATTGTTTGATGATAAAATACATCTCTCAAAATTCCAACAAAAGCTGCGAGTATGCTGGGGTTCACTGTACAGTATGGAGTGGAGAGGTTGGTTTCCCAAGAAGTCTCAACATGCAACTTGGTTATCTATTATAAGCAGTGGCGGCTCTAGAAAGTTTTACCCAAGGTGGCGAAGGGGTGGTGGATCAGTTGGGGGAAAAGAGGCCACCCCTCGCCACCATATGAAACCGAGTAATCTCTCTCTTACAGTCCTTTGATCAACTGCAAATACTGACATCCTATTTAAGAGGGATCCATTTTTACTGCACATGGTGTGGAACGGCCTATGATGGTAAGCTAGATCATATTCATAACATTACATGTATTTATTCATTTTTACACATGTTGTTTTATTCTCTTTGTTGATCGGCTGAAATATTTTCCTCTTGCCAGATGAGGGAGACCTATCCTCGAACTGTCCCGGGGATACAGCAGCAGAGCATGAATGAATTTACCGTAATCAATATAGACACTCTATATAGTTCAGAGCTGGAGTCATCGACATTGTGAAAGGAACAATAACAACAGGCAGTCAAAGTAATGATGTGTGGAGGGAAACTGGTCCTATTAGACTGTATTTTTTTTTCGACATTTCTTTGTACCAAGGTTTTATTTAAATGGAGTAAACGATAATCAGTACCATAATTTCTTGTACATGCCTCAGTATTTCCATTAAATTACATTGTATCCACAATGTAATGTACGTATGTTGATAAATGTTTTAAATTAATAAAAAGTATTTCTCTGGTTTACTGATCCAAATTAATATATTGACCACGTCATTATGACCAGTTGTAGACCAATGCAGTTATCCCCAACCACTGGTCTGTGGCTGGCAATTTGGTAATGGGGTGCAGAGTGAGATAGAATTATTTATATATTTTGTAGAGGAGCATTTCAGGACTGTCCATCATCAATTTCCCAATCCGCCTTGGTGATTAGTTCTCAATCTAGAATATGATATGCAGCAGTATGAATGGTTCTAATTAGACGACACTATGCTACATTACATGTGGGCATTAAGTCAAGATGTCTCCATAGATTTTGGTGACCATCGATCGCAGTTCAGAGGACAAAGATTATTATATGAATAAGGATGGAGGGACGATGACGAAAGGGTACCCAGGACGCGGACGGAGGACAGACCGGCGAAGTAGGGTCAAGTGCCCATCTCTGCGTACAGTACTGTATACCAATCTTGCACGAACACTCATAATATAAGCAGGAACAAACAAATCAAGGTGTCCTTGAGCAAGACGCTATGGGCCATTATCTCCTGTTCGCTCTGAAGTCAATTCCTTATGCGCATTTCTTCCATACTTTAAAAGATGCGGCGATTCCCTTCTTGGCCTCTGACTCACCCACCATGCGTAACTTGGAAATACTGTTTGTACACAACTACCAGAGGCGTGATTCGGTATAGTGTTAGGGTGGCCCTAATTTCCAGAACATAGAGTTTTCATGAGACTTGAGAATTCCATAGATTTCACACTTTGAATTCGGCAGTTACCGCCAGTGACGTGTGCTCGGCTCATCCACAGGCGACTTTGAAGGAGCGTTATTCACTTTTTAATGAATCCGATAGTAATTTAAACAAAATACCGTGATCATAAAAAGTTTCGGAGACGGTACAAGTTGAGCGTTGACCAGGTTGCTAAGTAACGCACTGGGCGCGTGGCGCCACAAACACCCCAGAAAATCGATAGTTTGCGGACCATTATTACGATGTCCGCTTTGTCTGTGACAGGCGCATCAACTGCAAGTCCCATCCGCATGTGGAGATGCTCCTCACGGGGGAAGTTAAAAGTCCGCTGGCGCTGATTTATTTTCTCTAACCGTTTATTTTTACTTTTGCTTCTGCCTACATTGTTATAAGCATATGTATAAACGATATGTCAGGCCAGTTGGTGTGTGGCCATTGTTTGTTTATTGGACGGTAAACAATGACGTTCCATTCAAGCGAAGTTGATTTCCATTCGCTTTTTCGAGTTGAATCTCTTCTTCTGTAAACCTCCGTTCTCCTTTTGGAACTCATCAGCGCCACAGTATGTTCTTGTACGGGGTAGGACTGAGTAGATGTCCCAAGTCTGTTCCACTGCAGAAAAACAGTCGCGCGTAAGCCACCTATGTACGGTACATGGCTCTATTACGCACGGAATACGGTAATACACAATATACAATGCGGGTTTATTTGCAAACTGAGAAATAGTGTTTATTGACTGCTGCGTGTGTACTCGGGAAAACTGTGTTTTCGGACTACACAAGAAGGCACCACGCAGAAGCCGGAAGTTTTCATTTCGACAAATCGAAATCGAAACCTGAAACTTGGAATACCTGACAGTACTGTCCTGGAGTCCTGCAGTTGACACCGCAGCTACATAACAAGGCAAACGGTGAATACTGTATAAACTGTTTTTTTTTATATGAAAATTTGCATACGGCTCTACACGATAATGTAATGTGTCTTGACTTGCTCAATTTGATTTTAGATACAGTTTTGGAATTATGATGGATACCGAAAATTACATAGCGAAATTGAACGAGTACATTCAGAGGACACGTTCGGAACTCAAGTATGAGGACATCAGAACCGATGGTCCGGATCACATCAAAACGTGAGTTGGAAAATAATTACGGTTAAGTGGATGACGTGGATTTTATTAAAGGCTTGGCCATTTCCGAGAAGTGATCTCGTGGAGCACTTTGAATTTTTCAACTTTAATACAGTGGTTGGTCCTTGTCTGTGTGTGTGTGTGTGTGTGTGTGTGTGTGTGTGTGTGTATGTGTGTGTGTGTGTGTGTTTAATCACAGATTTACCATAAGAGCTGTTGTCAATGGCGAGGCATATCCAGAGGGGGTGGGAAACAATAGGAAAGAGGCCAAACAGAACGCTGCCAAATATGCTTTAAAAAAATTAATGGAAAAGGTGAATCCAGATTGCACACATGATGTTATCTATTATACATTGCATGTATTTTTGTATGAACCTCAAAATAGAAATGAATTAAATGGATAATATATTTTATGTTGACAGAAGAAGCATGCATCAGAATCTTCTATTGGACCAGTCAGCCAAACAGTGAAAAATCACGTGTCCTGGCTCTATGAGTATGGTCAGAAAATCAAGATGAGTGTTCGATTTATCGAGCACACAATGCCTGGATCATACGAGTCCTTTCAGTAAGTCTCAATAATGCTGCCAAGTTATAAATGCAGAGTTGTTGAAGCAATGTTTTATTTTCCTAAGATGTAGATTCTTGGTTGGGCTGATTGAGTATCCGGTTGCCACTGGAACGACAAAGAAAGAAGCCAAGGCAGAAGCTGCTAAACTTGCATATCATGCCATATATGAGGCATCGCAGGTAAGAGGTCGCATTTGTAATCATGCTTGGCAGGCTCATGCACGCTTTCTGGTAGAGCTGTTTTTTTATTCATTCATCAGTACTTAAAAAAGTAATCACCCTTTCTGTCATCAAACACCCCCCTCCCCCACAAAGTGTTTTGATATCTGATGGACATTTTTTCGAATCCTTGTAAGAATTGTGCACTCGCTGATCAGCGACTCGCATATGCTCCAACCTTGCCTCCTCCTCTCTAGAAGGTGTTTTTTTTTTTTTTTATTGTAAAGAATAGATTTCACATTACTGGTGGAAAAAGTTATGATATGATTTTTATTTTTATATATCACAAAAAAAATGGCATTTGAGATGGGATCGGTAGACTTTTTATAGCGACTGTAGCTTTCTTTTGCTTTCTTTTTTAATAGTTTTTTGTTTACTGTGTTGATAATGTTAACAGAAATACATACATAAGTTAAATATATGCAATTTTTTTCTGAATTGTATACTAATTTTCGTAATTGGTGCCCTTTTTTTTCTTACTTGAGCACCTACCACCAAAATATCTGTGCATTTGCCTGATGCTCCAGTCTATCTGCGCAAGAAATTGCAGAATCTCACAATTATGTTTAAATTGTGGCCATTTTGCCACATAAGGCTAGTAGGCCCACTCCAATCAATCCACCAAAAATATTGTATTTATTTGAAGAGTGAAGGTGAGGAACCCTCTGGTGCTTCAAGTCGACAAGAGGAGGAAATGTCAGAGATCTGGTGAGCATAAACCATGGCACATTTGTGTTTGAAATCGGTGGACTGACCTGATTTGATAAATTTCTATGTCTTTGGTATTGCAGTGACAAGACACCAAGTTCAAAGACTGAAGATGATGGCTTAATAGAGAAAAATTTTATCGGAAATATCAACGAGTACTGTCAGAGAACACATCGGACTCCAAATTTTATCGAAGTGCAGAGAAGTGGCCCATCTCATAACCATAAGTCAGGCCAAGTCTCCATCCAGAAACCTAACAATTTGCAAACTAGAATCTCATTTTCAACACTAAGTTCAAATATTGCCTCCCTGTCACCACAGATTTTCCTACAAGTTAGTGATCGATGGTAAGGACTACCCCGTGGGCGCGGGAAAGACTATCAAGGAAGCCAAGCAAAACGCAGCTCACTTGGCCCTTTCTACCCTTGAAAAAGAAGACAATGAGGTATTATTTATTGTTTTCTGCTGTTGTTGTTGTTGTTTTTTTGTTTTTTTTAAATCCTGATGATACAGCATTTACATTATATTGGGACTCAAGGTGGAACATCACCAGGTTTTTCCGAAATACTCAGCAACAACAACAAAAAAGTAGACTTCTGAAGTTCATTTGACTGAATAGATAGAGTATTTGAAACAAAACACCACTATTTTATGTTTAAAAAGTACTGGAAAAAAAGCATACTTAAGTTGATTTTAATGAATAAGACTCAATATTTAGTTTTATAAGACTCAATATTTAGATTTAGGGGCCACAGGGGTTGGATGCTTTGTGAGCCCCGGCTACAGAAGCTAGCATAAGGGACAATGTCACCTCTCTGGCTGGGTTCCCCAAGCTGCTGTGCGAGCCAGAGAAATTCCGACATGACATAAAGTCGAAACTCCACATACAGCTCGAGCTCTGTTATCAGTTGTCTTGAGAAGGGGTGGACTCTCTTCCACTCTGGAGTTTTCTACTGTGAGAGGCGCAGAGCGGGTGTGGGCGTAATTATTCCCCCGCCCGGCTCGGAGCCAATAGATTGGAGTTCACCCCAGTGGACAAGAAGGTAGCTTCCTTTCGCCTTCAGGTTGTGGGATGTGTTTGACAGGAATGCCCCTCCTCGATCTGAACCCGAGTGGTGTTCTGTTGTTGGTGTTCCGTGATTGGACTACTGTACTTGTCACAAATTGTCCATAACGAACACCAAAACATAAGGCTGTCAATATGTGCACTTGGCACCAGGATGCCCTTGGTCGCAATTCGATGGTTGACTTTGTGGTTGTGTCATCGGATTTGCAGCCGCATGTTTTGGACACTTGGGTGAAGAGAGTGAGCCACTGACAACACAGAACGTTTCCATTGTTAATGTTTGTTTTTCTCCCAGGCATTTACAGCCTCCTTCATTTGTCATTTGTTGTTGTTGTTTTTTTTTTCAATGTGTGAGAGGTATTCATTTCGGTCTCATCTTGAGTAAGATGCTCGCTCTATAGCAGTGGTTCCAAAACATTTTACACTGAGTACCACACAAGCAAATATTTAGATCTTCAAGTGCTGATTATTACTTACTTTGTCATTTACTTGGTGCCTGACAGGTCTTGCGGTCCTCTGCATGTGCCAGTAGTACAGCAAGTAGCATGGTGTCCACTTCAAACTTCCGGTAAGTTGCTGAGTGATGGGTGAGTACCTCAAATTTTTACGTTTGAGTCATAGAAACATCCCTCTTTTCATTTTTAAAGGGGATCCCCTAATGCAGCATCGAAAAACATGAAGAGTTCCTCTTCAAGTTTCTCAGTACAGTTTGCAGAGTCTTCTCCCCAAGCTCAGGTGCGTTATTAACAACGATATATGGATAGATGTAACGTTCGTATACTGCATCAGGGAAAGCCTGTGATCCTTCAATGTTTCAGACCGTTGTCTTGAAAAACGCATTTTGATCGGTCAAGTGTGTCTAACCTGAAAAACTGTTTTGTATGTTGTTTACTTTTCTTCAACCAAGGGTCAAAGTCCAGACTGCAAGCCCAATAGAAAGTAAGTCACCATCTAAGTTCAACTTGGATGAAACTATGGCATATTTAACCCCGCCCCCTTGCCCCCCTCCACCCCTTATGTGTGTATTTATTTATTTAGCTGTGTATCTGTTTACTTTCCTTTTTCTGTCGCCTTAGAATTGCAGCCATTTTTCCGAATGCTTGTGGACAACAGGTAAAAATAAATAATAATGTAGTTGAAAATTGATGTTGAATACATTTTTATTTCATCTTCATTCCATAAATGTGTTGTGAAGAATCAAGATTTCAAAGAGCGTGAAGGAAATAGCGAACGAAAATTAGAGTCAACCATGTCAAGGTATGGTAGTTTTTAAGTGAATATGATTATTCTTTGTTCCAATGTTTAATCCAGATAGCATCAGTTTCCTATTCCACTCAACAGGTTTGAACAGGACTTTGACTGTATCGAATCCATAAATAGAGGAACCTTTGGCTCTGTTTACAAGGCAAAACACAAGTTAGAAGGGAAGAAATATGCCGTGAAGATTGTTGAATGCAAAAAGTAAGTTAAGTCTCTGTTCACTCCAAATCATTGATGCACACTTTCTTCTAATTTTGCTGTTGTGAAGCTTCGGTGCAGCGCATCTTAAACATCTGTTATCTTTTTGGTCAGAAAATCATTACGAGAGATCAAGGCTTTATCAGACCTCCAACACATCAACATTGTAAGATACTACACATGTTGGATGGAAGATGCTGATTACAAACGTGGTAGTGCAGCTAAAAGTTCCTCCAGCAAGTGAGTCTTATTCAAGGATTCTTGAATGTCAAGGAATATATTAACAACACGCAAGGTTGAATGACTTTTTGTTTTGTCTTTTGCATGTCTATCATAAATGCATCTGCAAGGTTCCTCTATATCCAGATGGAGTTGTGTGACGAAAAAACCCTCCGAAATTGGATTGATGATATGAACACTCAAAATGTGAATTCTCTACAAAGAGCGGAATCCTGTTCGCCCATTGTAAAGCAAATAATTTCAGGAGTCAAATGCATTCATGACAAAATGTTAATCCATAGAGATCTGAAGGTGAGTTTATGTGCTGCAGTCACAGAGTTAATGTACAGTAAGGTATTACACCAGAACAAAATTGTTGGTACCCTTCTGTGAAAGAAAAACCCACCGTGATAACTGTAATAACGTAAATGTGACAAATGTAAATTTGTTTGATTAAAGTGATTCTCTTAAGGGTTGTTCGACAAAAGTATGACATTGTACTTTCATTATTTTTAAAAATAATGTTGTTGTACTACAATAAGAGCAATGTCCGATTTTCATTCGGTAGTTTTAGGTAAATTAAATTTTATCATTACTTTTGCCCTTTTCAAGATATCCCTCAACCGATTTTCAGTACTTATCCTGTTTAGGGTTGCAGGGTGCTGGAGTCTTTCCCAGTTGACTTCAGGCAAAAAGACGCTCAACCACAGGGAGCAACCATTCACACTCACATACACACACTGAGTGAAAAGTTGGCACTGTACCCACATTGCCTGCACACAAGATGGGCAACGACCTGCTACAACGTTACTCAGGGGAGGTTTTCAACTAGATAGTCCATTCAAAGCAGTCGTTTCCAGATATAGTCAAGTTACCATCGCTGACAATGTTTCAACTTAGTTCACTGACTTTTGTGGGTTTTTCTTTCTCTTGACAAGGGTACTAACATTGTTGTCCACATGTGTATTTGTCTTTTTCTGAACGTTTAGCCTGCCAACATCCTGTTTGGGCTGGATCAAAAAGTGAAGATCGGAGACTTTGGCCTAGTTACTGTCAATACTTACAGCGAGGACAGAAGCTTGTACAGTGGAACCCCATTTTATATGGCGCCTGAGCAAGTGAGAAAATCTGCACACATTGTGTAACATCGAATATTGTTAATAGGAGATATCATCATCATATTTTGAAGGATTTCCACATATACAATTTATTTTGTATTTTATTTCTTTGTTTTTTTTGCCATATTCCAACGCAAAACCTCCCTCTTATTACTCTCTTTGTTTTTTTTTCCCCATTCAACTTGTTTTTATGGCAGTCCATTTTGTCAGGAAAGTAGTTAGGAAGAAAATAAATACACACTTTATTTGCTTTAGTAGGCTACAAAGAAAAAAGTGCGACAGGCTGGAGCTTGCTGTGGTTAATGGAATATATACTATGCATACATAACCCGTGATCCGAATGAGAAGAAACAGCACAGAAAGTGTTTAAATGGATGCATCGGCTTATGTGCTTGAAAGCAAAAAAACTGACCTGAGCTGAACACAAAACAAAAACAATTTGTGTATCAAATTTATTTAACCTCAGAACAGGTGATGACTCCTAAAATGATGTCACCGGTGATACTAAATGCAAATGTCAATAACAATTGAATAAAAAGTGTGCTATTGAGTGATGATTACAGTGCTGCAGAACAAATGAATGAGAGGTGCTCATAATTTTGCACGTTACATTTTAGGCTTTTAGACGAGTATATGTACCACAGCAGTCAGGGAGGTAAGACTAATTATTGCATCGTAATCTTGCTCAAGATCACCAGTGCTCACTTTCTTTTAACTGTATGCCTACTGCATTCTTTGTTTATTGCAGAAAGACAAGACTGATTATGACCGAAAAGTGGACATATTTGCTCTGGGTCTGATTTATTTTGAGCTCCTCTGGTGCATGTTCACCCGCTGTGAAAGAAATAAGGTGAGTTGAGCTACTGTTGAGGCATGATCCGAAAATGTAACCTCTCAAAGTCATTATAGGTAGAGGAAAAGAGTGCAAGTAAAAGTTAGAAGCTTGTGCACAGTTACAGAAAGAATTAGGGGGCACAAAAGACAACCATTCGTGGTGTACATGTTGATTAGTTTTAAAACTGCACATCTGCTGGCTCGCGGCCTCCAAGCAATTGCCTGCCTTGCTGAATGGGAAGCTACGCCTCTGAATTTAGGACCATATTCTCCCGCGTGCTTGAGTCAGAAAAGGCGCGTGTCTGCCCACTTTTTTGGGGCTGAACATATTCTCCCATTGACTTAAGTGTGTCAGTACACACTTTGTGAAAAGCACACACTCTGGGTGGAGCCACGTTGGAATGAGGGTATCCCCTGTCAGACCTAGCAGTGCGCAAATTTTCCCAGAGGCTCGAGCATCTTTCGTCTCGTGCACTAAGGAGGCTGTACTAAGGACCAGAGCCTCATAAAGCTGAAACATCATATTCCGCGTTTTGATTCAAACAACTGCGTTCGTACTCCACTGGTGATGGCCATTTGACCAAGTGGCTGCTGACTCTTGCTGGTGGCTTGGAGTTTGTTTGAAAGCCCAGCTCACAACACCAGTCATTCTAATGGTGACAATGGTGAGTTAGATTTTTAATCATTTCTTTCAGTATTAAATAAATGTAATATTCTTTGAATCCTTGTCGGTTGTAAACTCCATAGAAGTGAAGCGCCCACGTGTGTGGCGAGTTGCGTTGCTGGGCAACGCTTTTACAGTGACCGTGTCACTCGCTTTAAAACTAATGAAACAGCTCCAAATATACATTTGGTCATGAGTACAGTCCTCTGATTAAATTACTTTTACTCTATGTATTAAATATGTAATATCTATTAAATATAGAATGCAAATACACATGCTCCTAGCCTCCTACACAGAATCAGTTTAGCTCATTCTGCCTTCATGTTGTCACGGATAGATAATTTGTAAAATTTGTTCTGGTGCACCTTTCGTAGAATTTCTTGTGTGCTTCCTGGTCAGTTAACTTGACATCTATTGATTGATTCGAATATTAGGAAAATGTATTTGCAGTGGAGTAAATAAACTGCATCGGCCACACTATGTGAAAATACAGTACAATTGTACAGGTGTGTGATCTCACAGTGATAATGTGTGTCTCAAAGACGGTATGATTTTTCACTCAACCTCATTAGACATGCTGTTACTTTATTTTGTCATTCCTTGTCATTTAAACCAGCTTTGTGCTGATGTCAGAAGCCAGAAATTCCCTCCTGAGTTTTCGCATCTCTTCCCCACAGAGGTACAGCAACACTTTGACATTTTACTTGCAAGATGAATGCAAGTTTCACAGAAGCAGCTTGAATGATTGAGAATCTTGGCTTAGTCAACATATGGTGTGGTATTGATTGATCGATTCATTTATTTTTTTGGCAGCAACAAATGATCAAGTCAATGCTTTGCTCAATGCCAGAGGACCGGCCTGAAGCCAGTGAACTTGAGACCAAGCTTGAAGAGTATGCTAAGGAACTTCACCTTGCTAAAGAGCAAAAGACTGTCTAATTCGTTCATTTAGCCATCCATCCATCTTTGGGTAATAGGCGTGCTTCAGCCTGAACTGGTCACCAGGCAATCAATCACAGGGCACACATTGACGAACAACCACACTGTGGGCAATTCAGAGTATTCAATTAACCCACCACGAATGTTTTGGGAATGTGAGAGGAAACCAAAGTACTAAAAAAATGAATAAATAAAAATTTTAAAAAGCACGCAGGAATGGCATGCAAACTCAAGACAGGGAGACCAAAGACCAGATTTGAACCCATGACCTTTGGTCTGTGAAGCTGATATGCTCACCAGTCAACGAACATGCCGCCCACTTTGTAGTTTATGCGTTTTAATTCACGATTGTTTAATGACCATGAAATGAAAGTTGTCCACATTTTATATATACACTGTACTCCCATACAGTGATTATGTTTACAAGCAGGGCTGGACTGTTCATAAAAATTCCACCCTGACATTTTGACGCAAACCGACCTGCACATGCGTGCACCTATGCATGCTCACAACTCTCTATGTACTTTACTTATGTTTGTTCTTGTTTTTATAACAGTATGAATGTGTTGAGCAAGGTGGTGGATATGTATGCACTTTATTTCATGAAACCATGATTGTGAGTGGTATGATAAACAATTTTGAGGGACAACACGGAGATAACCGTCTCTCCAGCAGCCCTACAGTACGCGAGCCTGCTTATTTTACCGCAAGAAAAAAAAAGTATCTCTTTCATTCCATAATAAAAAAGTCATTTCTTTAGCGACATGTTAAATATTGCAATGATGATATCATGCAGCCCTTCTTGCTATCTTTGAGATGTTGACATTACCAGATGTAATGTGTAATTGTCGAGAAATAAATAACTAAATAGGCAGTGGAAGTTCACCGTGGTTAATCAGTCATTTACCACAAAAAATCAATACTTAATAATTTTTTTGTCAGATTACATTATTATTACAATGACTAAAACAAAAACTTCATCTATGCATCCGGTTTTTTTTGTGCTACTACTACTAGATTTGTTTCTTTATCGGTCAACTTGTTAGGTCATAGGTTGCATAATTTCTCAGAAATGTTATGTTAACATTTTTCTATATGCTCTGTATAATGTTTTGTGGAATGGGGACCTATTGGTGCATATTAAAATGGAAATAATTATTGTACGTCTGAAATGTGATATTTATTTATACGACAGCCATTGGAAACAGGTCATGAGGGAGTGGTTTGAGACTCTCATTCTGTCTTTTTAAAAAGACAGTAATTAAAAATAAGCGTATTTGATGACTGATGAACCATGTGACTGATATCTTAATTATACTTGTGACAATTTCAGGAAACATACTGAAATCTTTTCTTTCATCCATTTCATGTGTAAGAAGTACATCCCCATTTTTGAAACAAAACAAACAAACAAACAAAAACTTCTTGAATACAGTCTGTAGAATTTGATTTTAGGTGGTTTTGCCACTGTCCAAGCGTCGTCTATTTAAAAGCAACCGAAAGGGGGAGCTGTGGATCTGTAATACGCTTTTGAGGCCGTCTTCGCTTCAGGGCGAGAGGTGCTCATTCATATTCTGGGAACCAAAACGCAGAAATCTGTGACATTTATTCCTCCGTACGGCACATCTTGCATCATTTGCATTTAGCAGGGTAAGGAGTGCCAAATGCATGGTCCCCACACAGTCACCTTGTTGAGGAATGCCCTCTCTTAGGATCAGGCAATCACCGATCAATAAACTGAAGGTAAGTATGTAAATTCAGCAACCACAAGATGTAAACCATTTTTATTTGTGATTACTTGTGTATATATTTTCCAAAATAATCCGTCAAAAACACCTCTACATATATTGGTTCATTTTTATTCTTCCGCAGGCCAATAGCCACTTGAGTTGACATGAACAGTTTTCAACTTGCTATTGTGTTTGTTTTAAACAGTATATTTTCAATTAATATCTCTTATGAAAACAGAAGGTTCTTATTCTTGTAAAATCAGGTCTTAAATTACAGTAAATGTGTTTATACTATGACCGTTTATTGTGTATGTAATAAGACGGCAAATACGTATGTGGAAATGGAAACTGTTGTTTACGCACAAAACACATTCACCAAGTCATCGTGGAAAGTATGTCAGTAAGCAATATGTTATGGGCAGGGTCTTATGATTAGTTTGGGTTCATTATAGTGTCACGCCAAAAAATTATGCCAGATGAGAATGAATCATGATGAAACCGAATGAGAAATAGAACAAAAAATGTAATCTATTTGTAAAACAGCACCTAAAAATATTTAGCAGCAGATATTTTATTTGTTACATTTGCATTATCGTCCGCATGACAATGCATCATCTGTCTTAGATTTACACCAGCACAAAATAATGTGCAGTAGTCTCATTTAGAGCGCCATCTAAGATAAGACACCTCCTTTTTCTCCAATCTTGCTGTTGCGCACGTGTGAGCAGGGTTATTGGATGTATTGAGGTCACTTCTTCTGAGATCAGCGTGAGCACTGAGCCAGTGATCTAGATCTAGTCTGGACCACGTAGCCAGGCGGTAAAATGGACTCACTCAACCACACACACAAATCATGAGGGTCATGGCAAAGCACTGTGTGTTACTTCGTCTGCGTTGTGGTGCTGTTACCCTTCAGCCACCAGCACACGTCAAAATCACTTGAGACAACTGTGGATGCACATGAGCTGTCCAGCTGTGCATGCATCTATTTCACAAGTTCTGTGTTTTTGGAACACTTGACCTCTGGTGAACTCAGTGACTAACTGGAGCATGACCACATGCCGTGTCTCACCACGGGCTGAAATTGCTTTTTACGGCGGTCAGTCAGCCTCTACAAAACCACATACTTTTTTATTCTCCCTGCTACAAATCTCTAAACACACACAGATACAGATCGCATCACAGCAGACGCTGCACTGGTCTGCCTGTCGATCTCCTGCTCCATCCTGCACTCACTCGTGAAGAAGACCGCAAAATACTGAACTCCTCCACTAGGGGCAGGATCTCATCCCTGACCCAGACAGGACATCCTACAGAGGGTGGGCACTCTGAGCTGCTATTTGGTGCATTGACACAAACAACAGTCAGGACCTGTCCCCCCACATCTGAAGGTGCAGGGAGGCTACCCTCTTGTCCACCAGGGTGAACCCCAACATACACTCAAGAGGTGAAGAGTTTCCAACACCTCTCAAAAGGTCTGGTACCAGAGCCTAAGCTCTGTGTGGAGGACAATCTGACGATGCAGGGGTGCAGACCCGACCACCAGCTGCTTGCCCACAAGTCCCACCTCCAGGCCTGGCTCCAGAGGGGGGTCCCAGTGACCCATGTCCAGGCTTGGGAAAATGTCCATTTGTGTTATTCATCATAAGAGGTCATGTGAACAGTGTTTTGTCTGGGCCCTCACCTAAGATCTGTTGCCATTGGAGACCATGCTAGGGATATAAAGCCTCAGACAACTTGGCAGCTTCAATCATTGGGACACACTAACTCCTCCACCACGGTAAGATGATGGCTCACAGAGGGGATTTTATTACTAACGCCTTACAATACTGCGTTGTAGCAAAAAACACTTAGCTTAACTGTGTTACTTCTGTGACACACAACTTTTATCACTGTTTTTCACCAAAGGACCAACTATCAGCCTTTAGAAAACGACATTTGTTTGTTTATGTTCAAACGCAGCTTGTAGCAAACAGGAGAGATGTCATGTACGCTGTGATTGAGACATCGGGGCGCCCTCATACTTGTCATTGGAGACTTAAATCTGGCTTCCCCTCTGTCATCTACTAACAGCTTTGCACATGTGCAACAAGAATAAAACTCTGCACCTCCTGTATGTGAAATATCAATGCAAAGGGAGCTACGGTATATTTTGATTAGAAAATAAAAGGGTATTTAGATATTTATTATTGTACATTATTATTATTATTATATGGACATCACCTTGTTACAGCTGTGATTGTTGCCAAAGTAATGATATCATGTAAAAATAATAAAATTCTGCCATGAAAAACATTGAAAAAAAGATTTCTCGAACCAGATTACTAAATTAATTTATATACTGTAGTTTGAAATACTTTTGCTGATGTTGTAATGTCCCCAGTTGAGTGCAGTTTTGACGGTCGAGGTGTTTTCTTTGTGACGGCCGGGGCAGCTGTCAGTGCAAACTTAACTTACAAGGCCTGTAATTTACTACAAATGGTATTGCATTCTCTCTGCTGAAAGTCTGCCAGTGCTATCTAGTGGCAAACCCAGCAAAGTCGTTTTTCCAACTTCCTGGCCCCTCACACTGGCTCACACACCCACTCTCTTTGTTCAGTCACTGTATGGAAGGTCAAGGGTACAGCAGCAGACTCAGCTGGTAAATCTTTAATAAGTGAGCCAGTCTGCTCCATCTGGAGTTCAGTAGTTCATTGGGGTGCAGTAGGGGAGGTGACAGTTTGCCAGGAGAAGTGTCTGAGAGCCACTTCTTACAAGAAATAAATACTAAATAAAAACCACTCTTTCTTACAGCTCTGCTGTTCTGCCTGTAATAAAAATACATGTTGGATGCTCACAACTCCATGATGTAAAGGCAAGAAAAAGAAGCAAAATAACTCATCTTACCACACACTCAAGAGGTTTGCATTAAATTGCAACCCATAATATAGTTGTTCTCGTTATAGCTTGTTGCGTAGCTGAGCCAACAACCGTAAACACCAACAGACACGATCGCTGCAAAAACACACACACGCAGGCATACTCGTGTAACCGCTGGTGTCTGACTGCATTGTGTTTAAGAATATCGATGACGCACAGGAGGATTTCTTGTGTTGGTTGCATTTAATGGTCTCAATCACAAAGCCTGACAAAAACAGCAGAAAACAATTTCCTCATCGTCAATTATATTGATCTAG